CTTCTCAGGCTCTGAGGCCCCAGGCAAGCTCCGCCTCCTGGCCTTGCTTTCCCTGAGTTAAAGGTGGGGCTGGGCTGGGTCAGCTGGAAGGGCCCTCGGAGCCGGCCAGTGGGAGAGTCTGGGCCCCAGAGGCGCCCTGAGAAGGAGCGCCAGGTCGGTGAGTCGGACCGGGCAGCCAGGTGATTAGGGCTGATTCCGGGAGCCCCACCCTCCTGCCCCCAAGGTTGCCAGGCAGTCCCTGCTCAGGGCACTGCCCTCTGAGCCTGGAGACGGGAGACAGGGCCGCCTCTGCTCAGCTCTGTGGCCGCTACCTGCAGCGGATGAGCAAACGGATGCCTGGCCCGCAGCTGCACCCCCAGGTGCGCTCAGCGTGCAGGCCCCTGGAGCTCGGGTCTGTGGGAGACACGTGGCGGCAGGGGGTGGGGCACAAACTGTGCACATGGGCGCACGGCTGGCCACGCGAGAGCACACCTGTGTGCGGGGTGTCGTGTGGGGTCACGTGCACCCTCAGGTGGGGGTATGCACGTGGCTGTGGCTGCCCGTGGCCCAGCACACTCACAGGCTGTCCCGCAGCTCCGGGGTGTCCCTCGGTGTCCCCAGGGCCCGGAGGCTCTGCTCCAAAGAGGTCGCTGCAGAGAAGGGGGCCGGGGTAAGGACAGAGGTCCCCCCACCAGGGATGCCCCACCCCCGAAGAGGCAGCCAGAGGCCAGGGACATGGAGCCAGGCCTGGGAGATCGTCCGTGTGACCGAGCACCTGCCAGGACACCAGGCTGGGCGGGGCCTCCCGGCCGGCCCAGCACAAGCCCAGCTCGCTCGCTCGGTCATGCCTCTGGCAGGGGCCCCGCGCTAAGTCTGGGAGGGGCTTCTCCTGCTCCCTGCTTTCCTCCAGTGCCTGCGGCGCTCCCAGTCAGAGGCAAACACCCCTCACGCACGTGTCCCAGGTCTGCAGGGACCTCGGGGACGTGACTCTCACCCCAACCCCCAGCCCCGGTGACCAGGGGGCCGGCCTGAGGGCGGCTCTGAGGCGCTGCTTCCCAGGACTCATCCAGGTCACATAGGCCTGCAGGGGGGGCGGGGCGGGGGGGCCGCTGACCCGCCTCTGCTCCATCCCGAGACCCTGCCTGGGCTGCAGGGCGGTCCAGTTGGGAGAGGCTATGGGCACAGCGCCC